AACTTGTCGTTAAAGTACAATATTAACTATTGAGTTAAAATAGAGGCAAGATTAAAGTGGAAAGGGCTGTCAGAGTGACACTAGGTAGGATGCTTCTGAAATTATCCAGGAACAGATGAGTCCTTGACAAAGTCAGTGAGAGTGGAGATGAGAACTAGATTCAAGAGACACTTCCAAAGAAGCAATAACAGGATCCAGCAAATAAGATGTGATAAAAAGTAGTCAAATATGACTGAAATTGCTAGTTTAAAAAAATGGGTTAGTAATAGTATTAAAACAAGTATATTGGAAATAGTCAACTTAAGATTGGGGCATACTAGGTATTCAAATACGCTAAAGGAAGCTGGAAATAAGAATCTTAGGATGTAGAATCAGGTATCTTCTAATAGCATGTAATATGTCAGCATTTTTATAAAACAGAGATATCATTAACACTTTCCTCTAGAAACATTCAAAATTTGAGCAAATTATTTCAAGCTTCATCCCACATACATAAACTGGGAATTGCCTACAAACCACTTCTGTTAATCTTGGTGGGTTTAAATTAATCTCTCAGTAAAATCGTACCCATTCTCTAAATCTACTGTTAAGAACATTTTCTCTACAAGTAGAATATTTAGTAACGCAGGCCAAAATTCTCAACCACACTGTGGTGGGCAGAATAACAACAGCCCCTACCCCAAAAGATGGTCATGTCCTAATATCTGGAACCTGTGAACATGTTACATTTCATTGTTATAAATGGTATAACAAAAGGGACTAAAGACTGCCAGTGGAATTAAGATTATCAACTAAAATTGAAATGAAGTGATTACCCTGGATTATTTAGGTGGGCCCAAAATAAAAGTGGAAACGAGGTAAGGATGAAAGGAGGCCAAGGAATGTGGGCCCTAGAAACTACTGAAAGAGCAAAGAAATGTACTCTCTCCAAGAGCATCCGGAAGCAACACAGCCCTTAACAACATCTTGATTTTAGCACATGGAGACGAGCGTCAGACTTCTGACCTCCAGAACTGTAAGGTAATAAATTTCTATTGTTTTAAGCCACTATGTTCATGTCAATTTGTTACAGCGGCAATACAAAACTAATACAATACTCTTGTACTAAAATATACATATTGAGCATATAATCTTTCTGAATGTCTTTCAGTATGGTTGTTCATGGTCAGTAACCACAGGCTCTCTGATTTGGTTCTCTGTTTTCCTATTAAACCAGGGTTAACTTCTTCTACGAAAGCTTTTCCCAAATCTTATGTGATGTTCCCTTCAAGATACTAATTGTTCTGTGGAAATAAAGAAGAGAGAGAGGAAGGGTGGATAATACTCTCAAACATGAGAAATAATGAATTATTTTCTTAAAAATCTGCCTCTCAGAAAGTTGCTGTATCTAAGAATGCAGGAACTTGGTACAAAGGGGTACTTAAAGCATGAACGCATTACATTTGATTGGAGCAGGGGTCCCCAACCCCCAGGCCATGGGTTGGTACCAGTTCATGGCCTGATACAAACCAGGCCGCACAAAGGAAGTGAGAGGCGGGCGAGAAAAGCTTCATCTGTATTTGCAGCCGCTCCTCAACACTAGCATCACCGCCTCAGATCATCAGGCATTAGATTCTCATAGGAGCACTGGTCTCTGGTGCCAAAAAGGTTGGGGACGGCTGAGTTAGAGCATTAGTGCAAAGGCAGCATTGCCTAACAGTCTCATCAATATGTCACCAGCTCTGTAATTGGTCTCTGTTCTTGGTCTTGTATTATACTTTTTTCGCATTATGTTTATCTCTTGTCCTTACCAAAATAAAATGAATTTATCAACTGGTCTTGTTATAAAGGAAAAAAACTATTAACTAAATGATCGTTCTTCAGCAATGAATTTATCTGAGAGATCATTTTTGATGTTCTACTTTAATCCATGCACTTATACGTTGTTAAACGCCTATCATGGCTCTGCAATGCACCACTTAAAAGTTTTCACTGTCAGTAAGTTTGTGAAATGCTACACTATAAAACTAATAATTTTAACTTCTGTGAAGGATGAATAACTGTTAAATGATAAAAAATATATATAAATCAGATTTTCTAAAATGGCTTTATTTTTAAAACCTATACAGTTTCAATTTAGTAAACTATTGCCATGAATTATCCATTTGTACAGCAACAAAAAAAAGAACACAAAAACAGAGGTTATCCAAAAATAAATTCACAATTTTGAAGTTGAAATACAGATGCTTTTTTCAAATAAACAATTAAAAAATTCTTGTTTCATATGGTTTTCCTCCTAAACATCCAAGATACACATACTTGATCTTTTCAACTAAACCTAAACAATCTCCCAGTAACTTCACAAATAAGTATTTCTATTAACTTGAAAAATAAAATAACCCCCAAACCATTCAATTACTAGTCACAAAATGCTAACAAAGCCAAATAAATCATTGCTTTAAAATGTTTACCTCTTGAAAATGAAATCTACATCTGAGTTGTAAAGAGGAATAAACTTTTTATAGAAAAAGTCGAATCTTCCTAATTGATTTATTTTCTATCAAATTTATCTTATTCTGACTACTTTCACAATATATCTTAATCCTGAATGAGTGGAAGGTGTTAAAATATGAAAAGCTTCTTTGGCCCTTTAGATAGAGGTACCTTAATGTAAACAATTGTAATGAGAGCCTTCTAGATGTAGATACCTATGTCATGTTGAGTTGGAGATGTATGCCCTTGTTTCTCAGAGATATAATTTCCTTCCTAATAATAAAAGATTTGATGTACTGGTTTTCAAATGCTTTAAGAATCAAAATTCATGTATATTCCTATAAAGAATAGTTGCAAAAGATCAGAGGAAAGCATTATATAATGATATTACATCACAGGTTTTATTAATGGTAAATGTTTGCATTTATTTTTAAAAGCTTAGCTCTTGCTAAGCATTTTTAAAAACAAAAGCTAATATGCAAAAATCATTTGCCATATATAAACTATATTCACAAATAAGACTCTAATTTCAATCAAGTGAAAACTAAAAACCACTGGAAAAAATACAAAGCAAAACACTGCTGAGTCAAAATGCTTTATATCATTGAATATACTGTGTTTAGAATGACACAAGCATACTGAACTTAACAAAAATAATTTTGTGGATTCGATCTAAGTAAGACTAGCATAAGAATGACATGCAATTCATGATTCCCCCGAAAAAATTTTCTTTTAAACCAAGTCACTTGAACAAAATGTCTCTTTTCATTTGAGGGGAAGACCATCTGTGTTTACCAAACATATCATCCTTTCATATAAAATAGCAATCTGAGCCCTATCTCCTCTTCCCTGATGCTACTTATACATGACTTTGCATAATGATTTAACATCGAATTACTTTTCTGGTAACAGTGTCATGGCCATAAATAATCATGTTAAAAAAAAAAAAAAAAACAACTATCAAGTACAAATCTAGAAAACTTCCTTTAAAGAATTACCCAAACTCAGCACACATACAGTACACAAGCTAAGCAATACAACTTATAAACGTGTGTATGATGACACACCACACCAAAGGATGCCTTCTATAAAGTTTTAATAAGTGTTGCCAAGTTAATAATTCTTTCAAGGCACTGAAGAATTATGTAGATGGATTTCCCAAAATATAATTAACAATTGCTTAAACTGTTAAAAAGCCCTGAGTCAGAACTTTCGATAGTACAGATTTCAGACAAAATGGCATATTTATTTTATAGAAAATTACAAGACCATTTTGCTTTATGGAGGAACGAAGTCCTGTTTATGAAACAAAATCAAATAGACTGTAGAGGAAAAGTAAAATATTCAGAAATATTATCTTTCTTACACATTTTATACATGTCAATTATAACTTGTAGTTATGGATTTAGGCACCAAATTGATGTGGCAAGTCACCTTTCCTATGCCTACTGCTTAAATCCTCAAAATAAAAATTTTAATTTTAACCTTGGGTTTCCATCTCCTCCTTAGTCACAAATATGAATAAATGCTGGGAAAGTAATACTCTGACAGAAAAAGAGGTAGAAAATGCCAATGTAGCAACTCACAATTTTAATTCATCAGCCCCATTATCTAGTTCATATTTTTATACTCTAGTTACACCTGCTAACCATTTATCAGTAAATTGAAGCTTAAAGGATTTTCCCCTTCACTGTAGCAAAGCAATGTACACATGAGACAGCACTGAAGTTTTTCCTCAAATTTAATGTTTTAAAGAAGTACAACTGTAATTATTAATACTGTTATAGTTTTATATATATATATGTTAAAGTTCCAAGGCTATATATGATTATCAAGTAATATCGGTAAGCATTCCTATCATAATAGTCAAGCAAAAAAATTAGGTTGCTTTTTGAGAGAAAAAGTATTTTGAAACAATTACAAGTAGACTTAAAGACAAATGACATTTTCAACAAGGCACACATAATTTGTGGAAATCTTTTACCTTCCCAATTTAGTACAAATTCAAAGCTAACCTAATTCTACCATTTAAAATGTGTTTTTTCCCTCTGGTTCAAAACAAAATCAAATTACAAACCCTTCCAATTAACAGACATTTAAAATCTAGTCAGTTATGACTGATGATAAGTGGAAGAGAAGAAATTCTGTCATCCCTCAAATTTTAGGAACTTGAGGTTTATCATGACTTTATCTTGCAAACACAAACTATTAAGATAATTCAGGTGTTTCTTTTTATATTTAATCAAAATTCTATTCCACTGGGAGGGGGGAGCAGAAGAAATTTGTTGTTTAATGGGTAGAGTTTCAATTTTTCAAGATGTGATCTGTTTCACAACAATATGAATTTATCCAACACTACTGAACTGTACTGTACATTTAAAAATGGTTAGGATGGTGGATTTCATGTTATGTGTTTTTACCACAATAAAAAAAAAATTCTATTCTAAAATTCAATTTTTACACAAATTATAACTATAAAATATTTTAGACACTCCAAGAATATGAGTTCTTCCTTTTGAATTTTTTTAAAAAGCGAGCTGCATTAAAGCCTATAATTTACAAAGCAATTGTCAATCTCCACTGAAAACTGGCTGAAAGACTCTTTTTATTATTCAAATATACTCTACTTCCTGATTTAATTAAATCTACAAGATCTTCCTTTTTTCTTCTAAATTCAATGACTTTTCTTTCTTACTTGCTGCAACCCCAGCTGTCCTCCCTTATCCAACCCCATCACTAATTCTTCTATTCATAAGTTTAACTAATTCCTAGTCCAAAATTCATAAAATAGATCAGCAACTGGGCAATACATACATAGACAGTATATATTTACCATGTAAAAATGAAGTAAGCTTTGAAATCTGAATTGAGCAAATCTTAAGCAGCATGCATTTCAATATGCTAAAACGGTTTTACAGGCTAAAGCCATCAAAGATATAAATCTAAGTATTTTCAACATTATCAATTAATTGTATGCCTCAGTAGCTAGCTAGTCAATTTGCAACGTTTAAAATAACAAATAACCAAGCATAATTCAGCCAGCTAAACTAAACACTTGTCTATTATCCCTATACTAATACAAAAAGATCTTCTCTTGAAAAACCTTCTTGCTCCCAACAAAATTAATTATGTATATAGTATAAGTATCAGTAAGAATGTTAAGTTATATGAAGAAAAACAATTAGAATAGCACCAACTATTAAGTTGTGTATATGTTTTGGGTAACAAAGCTGACAATCTTAGAAGAATAAAGGAGACAATGTGATAGGACTGAGGGGGTAGAAAGAGAGAGTCCAAATACTACTTAATGACAACTCTTCTGAAACATTAGGAAGAAATGCTATCACTACTTTTGAATCTCTTCTTTTCATCTATATCATATTACTTCAAATACATAATGGCTGCATGATAAATTCTGCATGTGCTAAGATGTTGACCGGTTTTTTTTTAATATTGTGTTATCTAGTCCCTGAAGTCCAATAAATACGTTTTTGAATGAATGCATGTCAGTTTTGGGGGGGTTTTTGTAATGATTTTAGGAAAAGTAAAAACTCTTTCAGGCACAAGATAAAGAGATGACAATGAGTAGGAAAAATACCTAATTGGGAAAGTACTGCTGAGAGACATATATAATAAGAGGTAGCAATTTCACAGAGTTAGAGGAAAGTCACTTAAAATATTAAGTTCTTAATCTTATTCTCCCTCACAATCCCAAAATAAATTTAAAATAATTTTTAGGTGCTTCAAAACATGAATAGAGAAAGATTTTCTATTCATTAAATTTCGAAGTGGTACAAATACAGAAAATCCACAAGTACATAACACTATATAGTTACTTTATGACTTTTGTAAAAGTTTATAAGTTATTATATTTTTTTAACATGGTAGAAATAAACTAGACTGGAAGATGAAATTGCCTTTTAGGAATATAAGTTTTAGCACTGCAGCTAAGAAGATAAATAAAAAGGATTTAAGTAAAGTAGAGCTCTAGACCATAATTTGGCCAGCTAAACTAAACATACAATTCTCCGGTTGGCCTAACTATGCATGAGTCAGCCAGGTGATCCCTCTTTACCAGCTGATCTACTGGAAAAGAGATGGGTGGGTGGCCTATGGCATGGAAGAAAAGGAAAATTCTGACTTTTGCCATTTTCAAACCTGAAAGAAAACAGTCTATTTGTCTCTTTATGTGAACATCGTTAGTCAGATGTCCTATCTTTTTATAGCTTCAAATTATGGCTTTAAGAAGTCTCAGTGGCCCGTTATTAGATAACTGAGTAGTCAATATAAATTTTCAAATGTAAATTTATAAAAATTTTACTGTTCTAAATGTTAAGTTACTCAGCTAAGCACAGATACGGAATTATCAAGACTACAAAATCGGCCAGCAAAGCTCTCCATTTTCACCAGGACTTGCAAAGGCAATAGTCATTTAACAGCCAGAAATCAGATACTGAGGGCTAGAGACTGTACTTTCAAGGCTAATCATTGTAGCAGAAAAACTGACATAGGAATTAGATTCAAAGAAGGAAAAAAACTACAAAAAAGATAATGACCCTTAGGAGTAAGCTTATACACAGTATTGTAAACAGCTGATATTTTTATGATCTAGCAGCAATGAACCCCAAAACACCTATTTATGTGTATTCATCCTAAATATTGTAAGATTACTCATTCAGAGAGAGAAAATGATTAGATGCTCTAAAGTCAAAGTTTCAGGGGGAAAAAGTCTACATGTAATTAGACATATTTCTTGTAAATGTCCTAGTCATTCTTTCTAAAATAAGTATTTATTATTAGGTTATTTACTATGTCTTGAATATCGTTGGCGGTTTAATAATATCCTCATCAGTAGGTATAAAGAGAGACTGTTTTCTTTATAGTAAGCCTTACTATCTGAGAGAGAATGGAAGCAAGGCCTACGACGAAGGTAAAATCAGTAACACTGTTAGAATTAATAGATATGTAGAAGAAAGGATTGCTGCCTTTGGACACTGCATTATCCTTCTCAGATCACTGAAGTACTACTGTTCAGTATATTAGAAAAGCTAAAATAATAAACTCAGAGGCCGAAGAGGGGACTATCATTTCACTAGGCAGATCAAGCCTGGATAAGTAACCACATAGAAAACTGACATATACTTTTTACAAAAATTTTTTTAAGGCTGGCTGAAAACAGTGTATAAATTAATATAAGGAAGGTAACTGTCAACAGTCAATTAATAGGTACTCTTTTATTGAATAATTTCCCTCCCTTCAGTTCCCCACTATGATTAATTATTTTTCCTTTTCTTATCAGTCATTTTGAAACTGGCAATTGGATTCAAGTTTCCTTTTCCTTTTAAATCTAGAAAATAAGCTAAATGCAAAGTCATTATTCTCTCATACTATGCTTCCATTTACTGTAAGAATCCAGAAACAACCATTTCTATAACTTTATGTTCACCTAAAAAGAGAATTCTCTCTTAATATTCCCTTAATATATGTAACATAATGGTTTGACTTGCCCCTTTCATCTGATGCATGAACTGAGTACCTGTGTCAAGTCACTGTATAAAATCATGATAAACTGAAAGAGAGCAGATCATAAGGAATTGTACTTTCTGAGGTCTAACAAATGTATAAGCCATTAAGAGAAAATGCAATAAAAACAAAAATAACAGATCTTTAAAGGATTTTCCCCAGAGAAGCCAAAAGTAAATTATCTATGAATTGCACAGAGTTGATGTTTCAAATTAAAACTGAAAGAAAAAGAAGGAAAACAAACCCCCACAACTTTCAAGCACTATTTTGTAGAGTTTTTTGTTCTGGTACATTTACGGTCTAATTATACTCTAGTAAAGAAACTATGATATTAAAATTAATTCATTAGAACCCCCAACTAGCTTAAAAGCTTACTAAGATCTCATGACCAAATACCTTAGCTAACAAAACACACTGAGTTCTTGTTAATACAAAAGAATCCTTCGTTCAATAGCCTTGCGACAAATAGGACATTCACTCATTCGGTCTCCACAGAGCTGGCACGTTCCATGGCCACAGAGGAAAATCATATTCTTCAGGCGATCCAAACACACAGGGCACATTGTCTGCAGTGAGATAACAAATAAAGTAATAAATGCTAAGACATTTTATATTTTGAAAGTGTAACATGTGACAGCTCTATAACATCATTGTCTTTTGTTTTAGTCGAATAATCTTTTATTGCTTAAAAAATTTTTATTTAATTTTTAAGTAGTTAAAATGTCATCTCTATTTTATAATAGAAATATTGGTTGTACTGTCAGAATAGTATAAAAGGCACTATATAAAACAAATACAACATAAAATAAATACTATATAATAAAACAAAAAATGTAAATGCCAAAATCTAATAGAAAATGGGTAAGAATAGCCCCATTTGGTCTGATTCAGATTCCTCAACTCTAAGTACTATGCTGTTCTTGTTCTTGAAAATAACAAAATATAATAGGCCTACTGGGAGAGAGAGGAGCAATATAAAGAGAGGAGGTATCGCTAAGAACACATGCCAAGCACTATGCTGTGTGAGATACAATCTCAGTCCTATTATCACTCCCACTTTAAAAAAAGAGGAAACTAAGGCTTAGTGGAGCTAAAAACTTCCCCAAGGTAAGCCATACTGTGAACTCGGGCCACGCAGCCCAGAGCTCTTGCTTTGAAACATTATGCTGTACTCCATTACTATCCATGTAGATCCCTTAATTAAAAACAATTCACCTTTGTTATGTATTAATAAATGTAACTTCGAACAGAGATTCATGCACATGGACTACAGATTAGTGGTTACCAGGGTAGCTGGTGGAGGAGGAAGGGGTAGGTAGACAGTTAAAGGGGGTCAAATATAGGGGGATAGAGGGAGGGTGAAGTGGGTAAAGGGGATCAAATATTTGCTATCTGAAGCAAACTGAACTTTGGGTGGTAAACACACAATAGAATATACAGATGTCAAATTATAATGTACACCTGAAAATTATATAATTGTATTAACCAAAGTTACCCCCAATAAACTTAATTTAAAAATAATAAGTATGACAGGTACATACTAGGATATCACATATTTATTCACAAAACATTTTATTTTTGTAAAAAACATATTCTACCTTAACATATAATATTTCATTCTGAAGTATACTTTCCCCAAGTAACACAGACATGAAATAGTTAAACAAGAATATCCATTTCAATGAACTAGACCAAAAGCCTATACATGAAAATGTAGTTACCAATTTTGACAATACCAGAAATCACTGCGCAGGGAAGGGAAGGGTTGGAATTGTAGTCTAACTTGTTAACCCCACTCTTCCCAAGTAATTTTTCACATTTATCTATCAAGTTTTAAGAAGCAAAGCTGTAGAAAATCATATTTTTTTTATTTTAAAAAGCCAAACCAGCTTTTTAGTGTCATTAAAAGTTTCCTTCCCATTAAATTTTCAATAGTTCTATGTAGATAATTAATCACTCTTATTTTCAAAAGTAAATACATATGTGCAGCCTGGGTTAAGTTACTTTAAGTTAATACATCCATAAGAGCATATGAAATTAATTTTTGTCTATTAAAGAGACATTGGGATAATAGAAAAATTAGAGATTTAAAATTTTAAAAAGAGAGTTATTCAGATGCTTTCTCTTGGTAACCTTGAAGGGGTCCCTGCAGGAAATCCCATCATTCCTCAGAAAATAAATTTTAAGTGTTCAAATACTTTAGTGAAAACTATTGGTAATGAAGATTATTTAAGGAAGAAGAAACTTCTGTGAATGGTAAACTCTGGATAAAGGTAGAGCTGAATTATTCTTTTAGGATCCATAATAGAGTATCATTATTCATTATAAAAACAATTTTAATTCACAATTAAGAGATAAAATGCTTTTCACAGATGTGTTCAAAAATCAGTTTTAACTTTCTATTAGTGTTTTATAAAAAAGGAACTGAGATTCTACAAAGCTTCAAATTTAAAAAACGTTTTATTTTAGAGTGAAATATGTTCCTATTTTCATATTCCTGCATTAAGAACTTGTAAATCTATATTTAACTTTACTTATTCACTAAATAATAAGTATGACTAGGTGCTGGATTTCAGAAGAAAAACTGGCCCAATCATAGGGTTTTCACCTTTTCAGATGCATGTTTAAATTCCTAATAAATATATACATTTATACTAAATTAGTTATCACAAGGTCATTAGTTATCCTGGGTCACTATCTACTGACTATGCTACTTTCTTATAGAAAACACAAGAGTGACGACTCTGACAACTGTGTGGTGACACTGATGTGACTGCCAAACTAAAGAAATAACACTCTTTGCAGCTCAATCCTTTGAATTAAATCAGATTTAATGTTGGGTCCAATGAATGGTAAGGTTAGGGGAAAAAAAGACTTTCTTAACATATATCTACAAGTTTTAGCTAATTTTTTATTTCATTGTTGCTTTTATTAAACATTGAGTAGATATAAGAGCACTTCTGTTGGTGTGTATAAAATATGAAGACTATGACCACCACCCAGTTTAAAGCATGGATACTGCCCTTTCCTTTAAAGCCCCTCTGTATGTCCTCTCCAGTCCTTTCCACCCACCCACCTCTCACTGATAATCACTATTCTGAATTTTTCATTTATCGTTCCCTTTTGTGTGCATGTGTGTGTGTACTTTTCTGAAGTATCACATCTATACAGAAAACTGCACAAATCATAAGTGTACAGTTTAAAAGTTTACAAACTGATCAAACGCATGAACTTAATACTTAAGAAATGGAATATCAGTACTCCAGAAAATTCCCTTATGTCCCCTTCCAGCCATCTCAGCCAATAAAACCATTATCTTTAATTTTAAACACCATCTGTATGATTTTTTCCCCCAAGTTTGCATCTTCAAACAATATTCCATTTAGTTTTATTAGATAATGGCAAATTTTTCCAAAGTACTTTTACTAACGTATATTCCCTCCAGCATTATGAGTGATGGCTGTTATATATTCTGCCTGAACACTAGATATTGACAGTTTTTAACACTGAGTTTTTCCCTCAGTCTGGTAGGTGGCAAAAGATACCTCATAATGGTTTTAATTTTCATTTCCTGATTATTAATGTGCTTGAGCATTTTTTCCTATTATTGGTCACTTGTCTGTTACTTATTTTAGAAAGTGCCTGAGTAAATCTTTAAATCAGATTTTACCTATTGCAACTATTCAAATGCTATACATGATGTACTAATATGAACTGCGCTCACTAAAGAAAATACTAGTAATTTTATAGAAAAAAAAAAAAAAAGATATGCCACTTAGAATCACTGTTTACCATGAAGAAATCATCATCACCTGCTCTTTAATGTCCTGGAGCTGCTGCTGCAACTTCTGCACGTCTGCGTTGACATTGGTATTATCCTTGTCTTTTTGTAACACTGGGATATTTCCACTTGCTATAATACAGATTAAAAATTTTAATGTTACGACTTTTGACAATGATTTTTTATTTCTAAAGTTATTACTGTTCTGTTAAAAATAAGACTATTATTAGAATCTTCTTTAAAATTTTGTTTTTACATGTGGACAACAGATACAGTAGTGACATTCATGTCATACTCTTTCATTTATAATCTTCGAAAACAAATGTTTACATATTAATTTTTAATTATATTTAACAGTGCTAAACAATAATCTACATACAGACTTTTGGGTTTTCCAAGGCTCTACTTGCTTCTTTGACAAGCTCACAAATACATTTTATGCTTGTTTTTTCTGTTCCTGCACTGTACGAACCCAAGAAGGTAAGCAGCATAACATCTTAGCCAGTTTGGCAGCAATACTTAACCGAAAGTCTCTTAGATGATATTTATGAGAACAAACAAAAACCTAGCCTCCTTCCTTTATTCCCAACTCTCCTTGCTGTTATTGATCTAAGATGAGGAACTCCATGAAAGAAAGATCAGTGGTCTGCTAAACAAAGAGAAATTTTTATTTCATTTTTCCTACTCTCTAGATTATTGGTCTTTTACTCAATCTTTCCCTGGAATTTTCATTTTGCTCTATGGGTGATAAAGACAAAAATCCCTGGGTAGGAGTAGCTGCATCTATATACAGAACAAAAAAATCAAAGACACCATCCAGCTTATATCTAGTGCAAAGATGAAAAATATTTTTACAAAGCTGTACCATTGAAAAGATGGTAAGTGAATAATTAACTATTCATCTTTCCACTTGTTCAGTTTATCTAGTTACTCTGTCCCAACTTACCATTTCATAAAATACTCAACTGCACTAGGTAAACCTGCTAGATAAAAGAATGAGGTTAATACTTGTGTGAACTGAAAAAATAATTTGTAATATGATGTTCCCTCAAGATACACAACATACACTAAACTTTAACTTCAAAAGAGATAGCAAATTTTCTTTAAGCAAGAATCCAATAATATACTTTATGTCACAGGTTGAGGTTTCTTAACAGACTAATGTTTAAAGTTCTATAATTATATCACAAACTAGAAAAGTATTTCAGGTTTCTTGTAATGTAACAAGAGCAAAACCATATGTGTTCCTCTATAAATTCAGGTCATATACCTTATGTTTTTTACAAGGTCACAGTGTACTATATGTGAGAAGTTCAGCAAAGTCCCAACCAGAAGGCTAATGCTTAAGAAAATCCACTTACAGATATCATCAGTGGAATCTTCTGAACTCTTCCCTCCACAACACATAATGAAAGGCACTCTTCGTTCAACTACTGCCCGACACTGCACACATTTTTTCATCAGGCTAGCACAGTCTGGAAAATAACAACAGGAGACTTCTTACAAAAGAGAACATAAAGAAGAGGGTTGCCTTTCTCTTCTCATTCTTAAAACTTAAATTTAACACTGAGATAAACTACAGCCTGCTTGCCAAACCCAATCAGTTGCCTATCTTTGTAAATTAAGTTTTTATGGAAAACAGTCCCACCCAGTCATTTACATATTGTGTATGGTTGTTTTGACACTAAAACTGCAGGGTTAAATAGTTGGAATTTAGTTACTATGCAAACCATGTGGCCCACAAAACCAAAAGTATTTATATGACCCTTTACAGAAAAACTGTGCTAACCCCTACACTATGGCAACTTAAATAACCTGAGTTCTTTTAACTTAAGACAGAACTCTCTTTCTACATGCACTCTGACAGTTGACAATAGCCATTATACTAGTCTCTGGTAAACAGAGACAATTACTCATGGCAGATGTTACAGTAGAAAACCTGGATCCTTTCTTTAGTTTAGGAGATGTCTATCAGAGTAAAAAACAAACAAACAAGGCTAAAGCAAATCTATGCCAATGAGATTAATCTATCATACAATTTGTATAATATGTTAGCTAGATACATTAAAAATCAATGCCTACTGACTGAACTATTTTATAATAGGAAATGCCATTTTTTACCTTGGACCCATTTACATAAGGTATAAGTTATTAAACATGTTTAAAATCCTTCCTTGACACATGTAAAAAACAAAAGGAAGAGGAGAATATTAATATTGAAGAGTGTTTATGAGCTTGGAAAGAACAAGTGAAATATATAAAAGCAAAGTTAAAAATGTTTCTTCAACTTTAATATTATCCTCACAAAGAAAAGATTTCTGTAAGTTCTCTTGACATAGAGGTTAAGAATGCTTAAAGCAACCAGAAATTATAGCCTTGAATGGATGCTGTGGGTGGTTCACTAGTGGGGAAAATATGCATGAGAGGCAATGTGAAGGTGATGATAAATGAAGATGTGCCAATTTTACATGTGAAAAGGGGTTAGACTAAACGTTTCAACATTCATTTTTAGAAATAAATTTCTATTGTGTGAGATCATTTTATGCTAATACAAATGAAATCAAAATTCCATATAGTGAAACACAGCATATTCAATCTTCTCTAAGGCTCAGGAGGAAGAATGAAAATAGGTGACATTCTAGTATAGAGAAAGAAATGGAAAGTACTAGAGGCCTACCAACTTTTTTGCTCATGAATTATCAAAAAAAAATTCAAAGATATAATTTGTTTTGCTTTCTATTTTTATAATAATACTGAGGAAGTTTTTTATGGGTTACTTACTCTCACAAGCACACATGTGTCCACATGGTTGAAAAAGAACAGCTGCTTTCTTGTCAGAGCATACCACACATTCTTCAATCTACAAAAACAGAGGTTATAGCACAAGCATGAACATCTACAGAGAAAACTAGTAACTCAAACAGTGTCTTTTGTATAGAAGCAATCTAACATACTTGCTAAGTTTCTGACTTTGACTTTGGTAAGTGATTCAAACCAGTTGGAAGAACAAATTTCAGTCTCCCACAGCTTAAAAGACTAAGACCAGGGGTGATCTTTCCAACTCTAGGATTATACATATAGGCTTTAGGCCTATTCAAGGTCAGATTACAGTGAAAGAAATACTTACCTTTAATATAACAATGGAGCCCCCAAACTGCAAACACTAAGCAGTATACCACCGGAACTGCAACATGGGGAACAGAACAGGAAGACCCTGGAAATGGGTAGCTAAAGGATCCATAGCGTCAGGTAAGCACAGTTTTCATAACTCCCAACAAAGGTTTTCTTCTCTCATAAAGGCTAGGGCTGAGGACTATGGCTAAGTTTCAAAGATGTGTTAGTCAACTATCTAGCTGGTTGTCTAGTAAACTCAACAGAAAAGTAAGTACAATCTGGATGAAAAAAATAAATGAAATTCCCAAATGTTAGCAACTAGAGAGATAGACAAAAGTCTTGAGAGCAATGATGGTAGGGAGGTGAAACGCTGACTAATCTAGCCATTTGTATGTAAAGAATATTTTCCTATAAATATATTAGAACTACAGTGCTAAGTACTGGTCAAAGATTAAATATAACAATAAAAAAAGAGTAAATATGTGTAAAGTGCTTAGTTCAATGTCTAATATAAAACTGGTGCTCAAAACATGATAATTCTCTTCTCCTCTCTATATAATAATGTGCTGGTTTTTAAAATGGTTCCCAGTGCAATCATCTATGTACCTGAATTGTTTATAATGTTTTAAATAATCTAGAAAATTGATCTAATAATCATTCACTTAACAATTCACCTATTATTAAAAGAGAAGAAAACTTTATAACCATAACTTTTTCCCCCTTCCGGAATTTTTCCTCAGGTTACATTCCCAAGAGTGGAATTACTATATCAAAGCATGTTTATTTTAAAGGTTTGTGTATATATATTATCAGGATGGTCTCTCAAATACGTGAACCCATTTACTTAGCCTCCAGTAGTGTTAAGAGAATGTACACTTTCCACTTTCTGGGATAAAAATTTTTTCAATTTACTTTTGCTAATTTGACAAGAATGGTTAATAACAAGTCATAATTTTATAATTCATATTTCTATAATTGCAAAAGAGATTAAGCTTGTTTATTCTTCCTCTCTCCAAATACTAGTTTTATCATCTGTTTCATCTTCAGTGAAGATGTTCATTATCCTTTAACCACTTGGGGTCACTATTTCTTTATCTTCAAAGGCTCTGCAACCAACCTGGCAAATCTGTTTGGTGGGTATGTTAGTTTTTGTCCTTTTCTACAGGTTTGAAAACTCCATTATTTAAAAATCAAATTGAAAGCTTACTAATTTTCAGAATTCAGAACTGGTCTAAAAAGAAATGACAGCATATTCCTTTCCTCTACCTCCCTGTTCTGACAACCCTCCTTGGTAGACTTTGTTTTTTTATTTTGTCTGTATATCATAACACAGTGGAAAGAACAGAGACTTAAGAATCAAGACTACTGCATTAAGATCCATCTGTTAGTATCCTTTGAGCTTCAGTTTTTCTGTAAATATTAAAGTTGGACTAGAAGACAGTAAGGGCTACTCCATATATGAAACCCTGCTTTGGAGAACCTGGGGCACTGAACTCACTCTACATCTGTCTTAAACCACCTACATATCCTACATGGCAGAGTAGCTTTTAACTTACCTCACAGTTTGCCAAGAGAATACTAATTTTTAGCAGAAAATTATATACATCTCTGTCTGGACTACGAAACAAATGCTCAATAAAGGTTTGTTGAAATAGGGCTTAATCTAACAAAAAGTCTCAAGCACAACAGCAGAATACACAGACCAATCTTAAATAAAGAGAATGGTTTACGTTTTTGTTCTTTCAGATTCTTTCCAAAACTGTTACTTTGTAATCAGGTAACTAAAGCAAATTATAAATACCAAGTAGAATAATCCATATTAATTAAGCAGAGTTGACCACAGATATAATGCATATAAATGCCAACGTAGTGCTTGACATACAATAAGTGCTGTTAGTTCATCCTTCTCACCTTTACCAACAGATTAAGCAGCTATATACATACTCCAGTATCTCTCCAAAAATAGCTTCCTTGTACTTTTTCCTGTGCCAAATATTTTACCAAACATGTATTCATTTGGGTCATAAAAAACAGCCGGTCTTAGAAGGTTCCATTAAAAATGTGAGAAGCACTGGCAAGATAACACCTTTTAAGTCTCTGCCAGCTAATTTATCATGAGAAGTATGTGAGTTTCTTTCTTAATTTAAAAAAAAAAAAAAATCAAGAGAAAAATAAAAATAAAAAGAATAGAATGGAAAATGTATAAACTTCATAAATGAAAGCAAAGAAAACCAACATATCTTTTGGTTTAAGCCACTCGTCTTGAAAGAAATCATTTGTCAAAGACTTAAATCTCACTTTATACACACTCTCTCACACACACACACACACACACACACACTAAGAAAAACTAAAAAAGAAAATCAATTATTTTAGTAAACCAAAATGAGTAAGATGGTATTGTTACGATAAAGCACGAAATTACATGAAAAAAGAATGAAATCTGAAACCCAGAAAAGAATAATACTTCTCAAAAAGCAAAAAGAGTCAGACAAAATAAAAACTTCAGAGAGGATACAGAATTTGGCCATCACAAATTACAGGATGATCAAACTTTATTTGTGCCTCCTAGCAGCAGGATTCAATACTAAATGAGTCTGTGAAGTTTTCTTGCCAAAATGTTTAAGCTGACATTTAATCAAGCCATTAGATCTATTTTCCAGTTTACAAGAAACACAGAGGATAGAGAAACAAACCATGCCATGATAAAAAAAAAATAATAAAATAAAATAAATCCAGAACGTGTGACATTCTACCAAAAAAAAAATTGACTGAAATTTTACAAATATGAATACAATACAAAACAGTCTATACTCTCAAAAAAGATGCAATATGCAAGTAACTACAATACAAAGTAGAATTAAATACATCTTTGGGTTATAACGGACTTTGAAAGTGAAATAGGTTGTTACTTTTATTCTTAACTACTGTAGTTTACATATAAAGAAGAAAACTCCTAAATGGCTTCTTGATAAATATATAAATTATACATTACTATATTTAGATCAGTCTCAGGAAGAACAAAATTAAACAGACACCTGGCATCATATAATCTTACTTATCATTAACTGTAGTTTCAAAAAACTACATAAAATGATAAAATACTATATACTAAAAACATGTTACCTTTGTCCTGGATTGAACTTGTTCTTTACAGATGAGGCATTTCTTGACTCGTGGAGAACATAAAGAACAGGTAGCAATATGTCCACATGGGCCAAAAAGAGTGTCTCTCTTCATATCTGAGCACACCATACACTCTTCTAACGTTTCAGAATCATTACTAATCATAGAAGGACTTCGAGAACCCACTTGACCACTAATAAAAGAACATATTTCTAATCAAGCCTATCAGAATATTTATATTAAAAATTCATTAATTAAAATGTTTTTAAAACATTTAGATCATTAACATATGTAAAATCAGTTTTAATTATGTTAAAAATTGTTTTAACATCCATATATTAAACATTGTATTTTTCTACTTATATACATCTCTTCATCTTTACGTATTTCTAGTACTATTCAAATTACAAATTAAATCCTCACCCAATGGAAAAGGGTGAATCTTCTAACAAAGAAATCAAAACCACCAGTTAAAAATTTAAACATAAACACAGTTTCACTCAGAACCTGTTTTATCTATAAAGAACTGGCTGAGGAAGGCATAGGAATAAAAACATCCTAACTAGAGCCCATGTTAGTTACCCTAACTACAGATAGGAGGAAGCATCATTGGAGTGCACAACTGACAAGGCACTTTGAAAATATGTCACTGCAGCTGCTGTTCTGATATTTCTTTAAGTCTATCCTTGAGGAGCATAAAATTCTATTCCAGAAAGACAGAATACATCTAATAAATATATAGATACAAGACACAGAAATACATATATATGACCAACTACAGCTATAGAAAAGGCATACCCTGTTTTTACTACAATCTTCAGAAACTTACAAACATGCGCACATACACACAAGCACGCACACACCACACACACATAATTTCATCTTTGACCCAGTGTTAAAGTTATTACTGCAGTACTTATAGTACCTTGTATCTATTTTAGGTGCACTGTCTTTTTGTAATAGAATTTTATTACAAAAAGTAATGTTCCTTAATGACACACTTAAAAAATGTATATATCTCATTATATTGATTTCCCTAGAAGAAAGCTCTAAGCATAGATTCCACAGAGATGTCATTTCATCGCTACACATAAATTATGAGAGGCAAGAGAGTACAAAGGTCAAAGGATAACTACTGAGATGTTTAATGACAAGAACCAGGGCAGTTATAGTTGTACAGCACCATTTGGATGAAAAACTAATGAGATTGTACCTTTTTGTATGTCTATAGTATCTCAGAAGAAATTTAGTTATATCATAAATAATTAAAATCACTGATATATTTTACTTTTAGAAAAGAAAACAAGTGTGAAATGGACATCATCAGAGAAAACTCCATCAGGAATTGTTTCATTCATTTGTTCATACTTTCAATCCTTCGTTGATACTTACTGAATGTCAAAATCAAGCACTGTGCAGGGTGCTAGAATTATTACAGAATATGTGTGATATATACCCTGTTGGTGAGTGAGTAAACTGCCTTTCTTTGAAAAAGTCTATTAAATTTTAAGTACATATAACATTAATCACAGCAATTTCACTAGTGAGATCTTTTCTTATAAATTCCTTTTAACATTTAGGAGTATTAGAAGATCAGACTAGTTTAGAAAAGTTTCTTAGAACTTATTACCCATAAAGCATCATATTTAATAATGTAGAGAATACGACATGAAATAAGAGACACTGAGTCTTAGGTAAATTTTTAAGGAAGAAAAGGTCAACACAGAGATAGAGGAAGAGTAAAGATAAAGACATTTTCAAGTAATCAAGTCTTCCATTATGAAACCTATGAAACCACATGATACTTTATGTATAAAATATTAATTTTTATGATAATAAATAATACAAACCTGACTTTTTCTTTATGACACTTTGCCAGTGCTTTGCAGAGACTTGGATCAGGACAAAGATCAAGTGGTGACTGACCCTTCTTATTTCGAATGCTAAGGTCAGCACCATTAGCAGCCAAGAAACAGGCAATAGAAGCTGCACTCTTCTTCTCTGCCCCCTGGGTACCAAGGCCCATTATTAACTGAAATCAAATGAAAAGAATCATTATTTTCTCTTTAGGAATCTGTTTTCAATTCTTACCACCAGATAGAGAGAGAGAGAGAGAGAGAGAGAGAGAGATACACACACACACACACACGTATGTATGTATTGTATTAATATGTAAAAATACATGTCTGGAAGAACTTATTTAGTTATGGTGGACACTTAGGAATTATAGTCCTTGTATCCATTTCCCCTTCCCTCCTAGCCCCAATTTTCTCAGGCATAAAGTCAGAGAACTGACTCAATCTCTAGTTTTAGGACCACAGATGGCTCAAACCAGTCAGATATCGACCTGTGTGATTAGTTCAGGAATAACACATAATCCAAATCAGGTCAATTAAGGCCAATAAAACTCAAGAACGGGGCTTCTGATTTGTGATATTGAGGAAACAGTACTTTCTTTTCTACTCTATTTGGCTCTGGAGCTGTCAGCAACCAACTTCAAACAACAAAGGGTAAGACAAGTGAGAAAAAAACCAGTACCTAGGAATTGAGCCAAGAAATAGAGAAAAAGACAAGTAAGTTCTGATATCATCTCAGCTATTGATTCAAACATCTTATCTGAAAAAAGCCATAACAACTGTTAACATTTATGGAGTGTCTACAATGGACCAAGAACTACTTTAAGCACTTTCCACGAACTAACTCATTTAATCTTTACTACCTTATGGAGGTAGTTACTCCCTTCCCCTCCCTTATTTTAAAATGAGAAAAATGATGCACATAGGAGTTAAGAGATTTACCCATGGTCATATAGAAAGGCAGCAATTCTCAATCACTTTGGTCTCAGAACCCCTTTACATTCTAAAAAATGATTCTAAAATTCATATAGAAAGGTGAAAAACTTAGAATAAACACCTTTGGAAAAGAAGAAGAAAGTTGGAGAACTTACACTACTTGATTTCAATATTTATTATTAAGCTACAGTAAAGAAGACAGTGGGTTGGCAACACGTAGCTAAAGATATAGATCAACAGCTAAAGACATAGGTCAATAGAACAAAATATAGGATCCAGAAAGAATTCATATATGTAGTTAATTGATATTGGATAAAGGTAGAACAGGTAATTCAGTAAGAAAATACAGTCTTTTCAACAAATTGTGCTAGAATAACGATATCCACAAGCAAAAAATATGAACTTTGATCCATATCTCATAACACACACACACACACACACACATTCTCATTCTCTGTCTCTCTCTCTCTGTCTCTCTCTCTCTCTCAAAATGAATCATAGACCTAAATTTAACAACTAAAACTTTATAAACTTCTAGGTACAAAACAGGAGAAAACTTTATTGACCTTGGGTTTGGCAAAAATTTCTCAGGTAGGATACAAAAAGCGGAAACAATGAAAGAAAAACTGATAAAACAGACTTGAACAAATTTAAGAACTTCGGCTCTTCTAAAAATACTGTTAAAAGAATAAAAAGACAAGCCAAAGACTGGGAGAAAAATATGTGCATATCAACTACTAATAAAGAACTTATAGTCAGATTATATGAAAAACTCTCAAAACACAATAATAAGAAAACAGCTCAACAAAATAATTAACAAAAGCTATGAATAGACATTCATCAAATATATGTAGGTGGCAAATAAGCAAATGAAAAGATGTTCAATATTAGCGGTCATTATGGAAATGCAAATTAAAACCACATAATACCACAATACAGCTATACTATTTGAATGGCTAAAGTTAAAAAGGAAGAACCAAGGAACTTTTGGTAAGAATGTGAAGCAATTTAGTTAGTATTGACTAGTACTTAGTTCATAAGTTCAATTTCTACATATGTAGCTCTGATAAAATATTTTTATCAGATGCAAGTTAAACCAGTCATAAACATAAGATCTTGCATAAAATGATGTTCAATAACAGTAGTCATTAGGTAAATGACTTCCACTCCTACTGAATTAAAGATTATCTTTACTCACTGTGTTTTTGGATGGCTCCCAGGCAGCATCAACCTTCCCTACATCTTGCATATCTTGGAGCTGGCGTAGCTGAGACAAGGTGTGATGCCTCAGAGCTTCATGTAAAGGAGTATCCCCATCCTTATCCTGGATATCTAATTTGGCACCAGCACGGACCAAAAGCTAGAGAGAAAGACATCTCATTTTGCTAAAGTATCCCTGCCCACAAGAAATTACAACATATCT